CCTTAGTATTGATAATTCCTTCCTATCGATTACTTTCGTACTATTAACGATCTCCTAAAATAATATAAAAACTAAATTTACTATTCACAATCTCAATTTTCATTCTTTTTTTTTCCTCAACCCCTAATCTCATCTATCGAAACCCTAATTGCACCAACACTACGTTGTACAGCATCGCTCGATGTCACAATTCATCGTATGATATCATATGTCACTCATCGTTGAACGAAGATGTTATCAAATCTCCTTTATTTTGGATACAATTTCGAATGAATAATTGAGGAGAGCGGAGAGAAAATATCGAGATCGCGGGGAAACCTTATCGGGTAAGGCCAGTGCTCGTCCGGGACATGACGTCAGGTACGAACTGAGAAATTTTATGCCACAGGATTAACCTTTTTTAATCTTAATTTCATTTATTTCTTAATATAGATATCAAGCACTCATTTATATATGTATATATAAAAGCACATTTCATAATTCCGTTTTAGTCTGATTTATTAGCATTCCAATCTTGATCTTGCTTCTCACTGAAGATTAAAACAGAGCAACCAAGTAACAGTTGTTGTAATAACAACAGTGTTGTTAGGGCAGACCAACACATGAGGTGAGCCGAATTCGAAACTACAGAGCACCTTCAGATAACCTGGATTCAAGAACACCTTCAGATCTTGAAATCATTCCAAACTACAGAGCATGCGTTAGATCTTGAAATTATTACATTAAATTAATCAATTTGCATAGGCACACTGTAGCATAATGCAACATGACGCAGAGAGTACCAAAGTAGCAAGTTCATAAAATTTACAGCTGTATGTTGGGTATTGGGAGAACAAATGATTGGTACCAAGCATGTTAGTTTACAAACCTGGGCGGCAGAAAATTGCATTTGTTTCTATTGATTCAATGACTCGGGGATATGTGATGGTATGACCGCTGTGCTGGGACCAGTCCCATCCTGAATGCTTGGGGATATTTCCTGTTCCATCAGAAAATTTCAAGTGTCAAGATTAACAAGATCAACTGATTCGATCCAATCACTGTCTCAAAACTTTGCCCTTCATAAACAGTAAAGCAGATCATGTTTTCTTACCTGTGACTGCATAAGCTGTTGGTTTGACTGCTGATCTTGCTGCAACACATATGGTTGTGGTTGAGACAACCGATAGTAGGGTTCCTTAAGATCAAATTTGCAGGAAGACGTCTGCAGTATTCCTCCTTGATCAGCACCAGCTCCCCACATTTTAGCTTTTTCAGAGATTGCGGAAAGCATATCAGCATTTTCAGGGCAAGTTTACAAAGATGGCACAAGCAAGCAGCCAAGAACCACACACATTGACCAACCTGACATAGTCAAGAAAATTGTATAGCTCTGTGCACTGTGAGAGACGAGGTGAAACCGCCCAGTTATCTCTTGCCCAGCCATGACATATATTGGTTGCGCAAGGACACAACGTAGTTGATACCAATGAGTTGTAGGAGCACCTGGAGCTGTGGTAAGCCATCTTTGAACAGAACTGCAGAATGTATTCATATCATTTATATGGGTGCACAAAAACAATATGAGATGTTCTTACATACCAATGGCTCAAACAAGAACTCTTTTAGCATAAATTAAAATATATGTTAAGAACGCTTTCAAAATATGCTGCTGGAGCATATAGGCATGCATGATACAAGTACTTACCAATAAAAAAGGCATAATACAAGTTGAAAACACAATTTGTATCATTCACACTAAATAGTTTTTCATCAAATTTTGCTATCAAGGAGACCAAAGAACAATGTGGTGAATCTATAAGTTGTTTACAGAAGTGATATATGAGATATTAGAGCCTTAAAATATGTTAGAACGGAAGGGGGATACACAAATCACCAAGGGTTAGCATTGGACCCAACATATTCACATTAGATATAAATTGACCAACCACAAACCACTATTTGGGGTTAGCTATATGAATCTATTCCCAGCATTAAACTTTAGTTAAACCAATATCCTTAATTGAACTAACAGTAAAACCCTTTCTCTATTGTCGAATAAAAGTTTTGTTCACAGTTCGCAAAATTAAAATTGAAATCAGAATCAGAATCAGCTAGTGAATATACTGTTAAAATCAGTAGGCTCAGAACTGGAGAAAATAATTTAAAAAAGAGGTACAGCTAAAACCTCTCTAAAAGTTCCAAGTTATATTATCAAAAGCTTAAAACAGGTTATATACAATTAAAAATATTTTATATTAAAAAAATAATTTATATTAAAATTGATAAAGATATTTGTTCTTGGAATAGGTCGGGGACACACTTCTAAGAGCTCCCATTTGATCCTATTAGAGATTAAGTCTTTGGCGAAACCCCTGGCCATCTCAATGGCAGATTTGACCGTTACTCTCAAGGATGGTAGAAGCAAAAGTCACAGGCATGATAGAACAAAGGTTTCCAATTATGAATTTTTGCTGTCAAGGGCATCCAATGAAGCACCATCTAGTGAGTCAATTTATCCCTTCTTTCCTCCATATTTGCACATGAATACCAGAATCCAGCAGAAACACACTATATCCAAGGATCATCCAGAATCTGATTGAGACTAGTTGATCCTGATTTAAATCAGCCGATCTTGCAAACTATGGTTTTCTTAGTTCACCCTTTCACCTGAGGATCAATCAAATCCTGATTGGAACTAGTTGATCGTGATTTTAATTGGTCAATCTTTCAAAGTATGGTTTTCTTGGTTGATCTTGAAAATTATGGTTTTCTTAGTTCACCCTTTCACCTGAGGATCAATCAAATCCTGATTGGAACTAGTTGATCGTGATTTTAATTGGTCAATCTTTCAAAGTATGGTTTTCTTGGTTGATCTTGAAAATTATGGTTTTCTTGGTTGTCCCTTTACCTGCCCACATACCACAATTGCAGGCTACACAAACTTATTAATGTTCCAGTATAATTCAAACTATTCACGGACTAATGCACACGATATAACCCAGTAGATGAGCATCAGCAAATCTAAGCTTAGGAGGAGAAACATTAGTATCCATGCAATGACAAGTGTCATCATCTAAGGACAAGTAATGTCTGCAACAAAAACTAGATTCAAGCTTTGCAAAAAAAAAAGGATAAATAATACCATTGTTAGGAGGAAAACTTCGGCAGCCAACACAAGTTTCAAAAGAACAAATAGATACAAAAAATACACAATCACGTATGTAATTACCTCCCATTAAATAAGACATCAAACCAGCAAGCCAGGCCATGCACACGTGTGCCCACAGATGATACAAAATTTAGAGGAATATCAATTTCATAGAGATCCTCCTCCTGAACAATTAAGAGCCATGGATGAAAAGTTAACTAAAATTATTTTTCTTGAGATTTCAAGAAAATAATAATAGTTAAAGTTAAAAAAAATAAAAGCAGTTATCCAGCAAGCCACACCAGAACGTGTCAGTCATCAAAGTTCACATTGTCAACAGGATAAATGATATCAGAAATACATAAATTTATAATGTCAAACTCCAACTACTATTAAATCGATAAGAGACATGAATGTAACGATGTACAAATAATATAAATATAAATCTTAATCCACTAGTAAAATTTTTACCTTCATGGAAGTAAAGTCTAGCGTGTGGATTATAGGTGGTGAAACTAGTAGCCTTGGATCAAATGCATCAACCACAGGCTGTTTAATGATAAATAAATAAATGTAATTAGAGGTTGAATTCCTCAAACATTCATAAAGTTATATAATACATGACATAAAACAAAACAGAGCACCAATAGCAATACATCATGTGCTGAACAAAAGATGGTGGTACAAAAAAATCAGTATCATAACTCAAATCAAACAAAATCAACTAAACCGATAATGATTGCGAACTGATCATGCTTCAGGTTCATGTCAAAAAGAAGTGGCTACTGGCAAAAGATTAAAGGAATTTGGCATCCCACCCAAAAAACACTCAAGTCCTAGACTCAGTATTCCTGCCTCATGTCTAGGGTGGCTTGATGATAACAGAACCAATTAGCAAGATAATTAATAAAGTGAAGGATGCCAACATGTACAATACAGCTGTAATCCATTAGTTATATCAGATGCTCATCAAATCTAGAGAAAAGAAGACCACAGTTATTTCTATATTTTCGAAAACCTCATCTGCATCACTATTGAACATGTTGTCCTACTTATCATAGTACCAGGTTACCCAGCCCATTTTCAATATTTAAAGCAGGAGCACGGGAGGACAATTAACTAAACCAACAATGATGGAGAATTATCTGAATGAGCACTGAAGGACAACTAACAGTCAAGGGTAAGCATCAGAACCCTTAAATATTGATTTTAAAAATTGAATAAGCTACCTGGTTCCACAAAATATGTTTTATAATGTCCAACTTCAGATAATTTTACTTTGGTTATGACAGCTTAATGAATGTCTTAAACTACACAAAGAATCTACCACAAGATTAAAAATATCAAGTGCAAAAACATTGTCTAAAATTAATATATTTATTTAAGCATATTTAGCCTATGACAAAGAAAAGATACTACCACAAAAAGGTTATAAATGATGCTCAAACTTAACAAAGGATTGCACATTTCTCAGAGCAACTAGAACATATTTACAACACAAACTCAAAGGAAGCCACCCAGATGCGTAACTACAACAGTGAGAAGTTAAACTGCATAAGCCTATCTATCCAGCCAAACTGTTCTAGATGCATTACGAATGATTATCCTACTCGATGCAATCAAGCAACTATTCCAGGTATGATATCCACAACTTGGGAAATATGCCAGTTTGACAAGTCAAATTTTCACAACATGCAGCAAATAACAAGGTTGCTGCCATTGACCAAAATATGCAGCAGCAGCATAAGACGATTGTTGTCTTACC